CGGGGTGCTGGGGGAGCGCGGGTTGCAGGACGGGGGTCTCCTTCTCCCTGGGGTCAGGCAGCTGGGGTGGGGGGGTCTGGCTCGGGCACCCACCCCGCAGGGTTTGGCAGTGGCTCTGGGGTAAGGCCGGGGGGCCCGGGAGGGCCTTCGAGGGGGGAAGAAGGCAATAGCGTGTGTATTTTTATGCATTTACATCTAAATGTATAAATGCACGCGTATTTTTGTATATCCATGTGTCTATATTTATACACATGCGTGTATTTTCTTAGCAGCGCTGCTCCCTGGGCCCTGCCCCGGTGTGCTCGCATGACCCTCCCCTGGTCCTCAGCGGCCCCTCGGGCACAGCCCTGAGCCGTCTTTTGGAGCCCCATCCCCAGGACTCGTTCCCCTTTTCCTTTGGTCCCCGGGTACCCTCGAGCCGGGTGCTGCGAGGGCGTTCACGCGAGTAAAAATTGGTTTTCGGCACCAATAAGTGCCACCAAGAAGTGGGACGTGATGCGTGTGCTTGGGAACCGTGTGGGGACGTGGGACGAAGCGTCCCCTCGCTCGGCGAGGTTTAAGTGCCGTTTCTTTGTGTTTCTCCTGAGTTTCTCTGCCCTGGTGCTGGCTTGGGGTGGGGTTGAGCCCAAAATCAGCGTGGGGTTGTGCACCAGATGGGATGTGGTGCATCCCATCCCTCCTTGGGCCCTCCGGCTCCTCTGAGCTCGGATTATATTGCAAAGGCGTACGTAAGGGCAAGAAAGAAGCTTAGAGAGGTGGTGCAGGGAGGATGGTTAAGCTCACTCTGTCCCCTTTGGTGAGGAGGGGTTTGGGGCGCTCACCCCTTAACCAGGGAGGAATTTGGGGGTTATTCTTTGTCTCAAAATGCCAGGCACTTCTCCTGACGCACCTCGTCTCTCCTAGGTCAGCATGATCCCAGGACACGGGCCAGTGGTCCAGTCGGTGCTGGGAACCTTCCTCACCTGGGGGCTGACGGCGGCTGGCTCGGCGCTGGTGTTTGTGTTTTCCAGTGGGCAGGTGGGTGCTGGGACCATGTCCTCCACCCCCGGGAGAGAAACGGGGTCTGGAATGGAGGGCTGCGCTATGCTAGTGGGTGGGTTTGGCTGCCTGGTCCCAAGCGTGAGGGACTTGATGTTGGCCCTGGGAGGTCCTGGGGCAGGAGGAGGAAAATTCCAGCTCATTTCTCCCCTGCGTGTCAACACAGAAGAGGAGAAGGAAATCAAATTCCTGACCCCGGGCTGTGGTATGTGCTGTAGCGCAGCTCACGGCATTTGGGAGATGGGTAAGAGCCGCAGGCAGGGCTCTGTGTTTGGAACAGCAGGTTCTCCTCCTGTAACCTGGTTTTGCTGCCACGTCTCCAGGGCAGGATTCGGGTCAGCCCGTGCTCAGAACAAGCAAAGTGCTGATCTTTAAGTCATCTTGTATTCCAAAGTTAGAGGCCCCCCTTGCTGTTGTGTTCAAAATTGCCTGGATGGATTTATTATTTATGTCTCTCTCTTGTGATGATTTATTCAGGAGTTTGTTGCAAAGTGAGATTCCCTTTGCAGTAGCATGTTGGTTTCCTTCCTGGGGGAGGGTGATGTGCTAAAGAAGAAGAACTGCACTGGGAGTGAAGTGGGTAGGATACATGCTGGGTTACTGGAAGAGCAATGGCTTTGTTTATAGCAGCCTGTTATTAGAGGAAACAAAATCTTCAAGGGGTTGAAATGCAGGGCAGCGTGCACAGATGGGCAGAAGAGTTTCTGGTTTGCCTTTCCACATCCTTTGGCATGGGCACTGGATGGGCTGAGCCCAGTCTGGGCAGTGTTGGTGGGTTGAAGGAGCCAGGATGCACTGTAGGCTCTTGGCGATGGTGGGGTGCCATCACCCCAGGATGGTGGGCACCTCTGTGTGAGAAGCACAGAAATCACTTGGGTTGCAGAAATGGGGAGAAGAAAGTTATCTCAGCATGGCAGTGGTGCAGCTGGCTTCCCCGCTCTGCGCAGTTTGTGGCGTGGTAGCACTCCGCTGCTTCTGCCAGGAATAAATGGTGTGTTTTGTGTTTGGTTTTTTTGCAGAGGCGGATCCTAGATGGGAGCTTAGGCTTCGCCGCAGGGGTAAGTACAGCATCCTTCTCCTCCTTGTCTCTGCCTGTATTCTCCTGCTGACACCTCTGAAGACCCACCACGCTTCATTTGGTTGCCTGCTCCTGTTAGTATTTCTTGGATAATTGCCTGAGGTGCAGGTGGGGCAGGGAAGAGCACGGTGTGGTGCAGGTCGCGTCTTGTTGTGTCTCGGTGTCTCTTCAGTGAGGGTGGAGGTGGCATGAGGGGGGTCATGAGGATGTTAAGCTGCCCAGGCTGGATTTGGCTCTCTTGAGTTAAACTCTTCTTGTTTCCTTGGGCTTCTGAATCACTCCTCCTGGAGCACTGGTGCAATGAAGATGGGCAGGAGAGTTCTTGTCTTGGAGGCTAATGTGCATAGCTTGCTTTGTGCTTCTCACTCTCCTGCAGAGCGTGGGTGCTTTAAGCCCTTGGGAGAAGGGGGAATAAAGACACTGCAGCTCTACATCAAGGGTGCACACTAAATGTGGGGCTTATTGCATCCCTCTTGAAGGAAGACATGTAACTGTGTGTCTTGAAGTTGTGTTGGAGCTTGTGAATGTAAACCTTCTCCGGCTGCCCAGCTCCTGGGGTGATGGGGATCAGGTGGAGGCTCATTCAGACTCCTTAAATCACTTTGGTTTTCCTTCAGGTGCTGGAGTGTGCCTGAGAGCTGGGGGATGTGCTCTGGGTGGAAGGTGCATCTTCCCAGGGCGGGTGTGCTGGGGTGCAAGGCTCTGCCGGGTCCTGCTTGCTGTGTCCTGGCTGTATAGCTGGCACCTGGAGCGTGGGCGATGCTGCCAAGTTTCAGGGTGAACCACGAGCCCGGCAGCTCGGGTGATCTGTCCTGCAGCATGCAGTAATGCCGCTCATGCCGAGGCTGTGCGTGGAGCGGGGCTCCTTCCTCCCTGTGCACCCCCAGATGCTGCAACACTGCTAATCAAGGTGCAATTTGACTGTTTGCAGCTCTGAAGAGCTTCTCTTTTGCTGTTCCCAATGCCTGAAGCAAACCCAGCTGCACTGAGCAAGAGCCTGCTGTGGTGGGTGACATGAAATGCTACAAAGCTTGGTTTGCTCCCTAGCAAGCTTTCCTGGAACATGCCTGCGACCTGCTACTGATGTAAATAATTCAACTCGTCTGTTGTGGCAGATTTCTTGGGCCATCATTTATAAATGAATCACTTGCGTTAGGAATTGCCCGTTCTGGAGCCTTCCTCTGTGGTTTGATTTCTGAGCTGTTTTTTTTGTGGAAGACACACCCTCATCCCTGCAAGCCAAGCCGGAGCCACTTCTGTGGTGTGGGGTAGATGCTGCTGGGGACAGCGTGGGCTGGGCTGTCCCCTCGCTGTGGCATCGGTGTCTCCCGAAGCAGCTGGCGTGGCTCTCCCGCAGCTGGGGAGGTACTGGGACATGGTGGGGTGTTTGTCCCGGCCGAGGGCTGGCTCTGGTGCTGCCCCAGCATGGTGTGGTGCCGTCTTTCCCGTGGCCACCGTGTCACCCTGCCAGGAGCACTGAGTCATCCCTGTGCCGCAGAGGTGTGGCTCGGCGGGTGAAGCAGAAGTCCTGCAAACATTTGCTTTTCCCCCAGCTTCTTTCAATTTGTTGTGCTCAGAACAGGAAAGGGGAATTTTTTTTTTTATGGGGTTGTTGCAGAGTCTGGAGGGGAACGTCAGTGAGGAAACTGGGACAACAGGGTCCTGCTGGTGGAAGGTGCTGCCACGTAAACCACCCATGAGCTGCAATTTGTGAAGGTTTCTAGGTCATGTTTATGGACTTCAGCTCCAAAGCAGGTGCTGGTTGGGGTGAGCTGCCTGTGTTACCTAGGGTCACTGCAGCCCTGCCCTGATGCTGCATGGCCGGGACCAGCTCTTTTGGAGGAAGATGCCAGAGATCCACAGGTTGATTGTGCCACAGTGGCTTCTAGGGCCGCTGGGCTGACTGGGAGCAGGTCCTTGCTTGGTGGTTGAGTGTTTGGGTGTCAGTGATGTGGCAAAAGCACCAGAGGTCAGAACTTTTGTCTTTCTTTTTGCTTGGTTTGCTCCAGATGTGCCCATAGCCCTCTGTCTTGCGTCTGACAAGGGGCTGGTGTATCCCCCCATTAGGCAGGCTGGCTTTGTGTAGGGGGGAAAAAGCAGGATGTGGAGCAGCTCGTTTTGAAACCTACTTGTACTGTTTTCTCTTTCTTCTTCCCTTTAAGAAGTGTTTCTTCAGACAGCGACGTTGCTCTGATTGTGGGCTACTACTCTTGCTCTAAGGGATTTCTGTTTAAAACGCTGTGTCTTTGATGTAGATCTCTTGCAGATACGGATGGGCTGTTTCTCAGAGTGCTGGGATGGAGACAGAACTTAACTTCTTCTTTATCTGTGCTCTGAAATCTGGGCTGCTGGGTTTAATTAAACTTCCTCTGTGCTCTGTCAGAGCCAGCAAACCTCCTTTTCCTGTGCTTTCAGAGGCAGGTAGTCGCTTCAAATCTTTCTGTTGTGCTTAGCTCAGGATCCCTGATAATTGTGTGCGTTCCAGGGAGCGTGCATGGTGCTCTCCGAAACCAGGATCACTGGTGAAACAGGGTGTAATGGATGGTTCTGTCTCCTTTTGGTAACCATTTGCCTGCTTGTCTTCTGGGAGCTTGCAAAATAAAACCAGAATTAATTGAAAACTTCTCTGCCATTGCTGAGCCATGAGGAGGATGTAGGACAGGGATGTCCAGGCGACCTTGAGGAGGATGGTCTGGGATGCAGCGTTAGTCTGCGATCCAGAAAGCCGTGGCTCGGTGCCACCTTCACCACTGATAAGCCATCTGATCTGGGGGAGCTTGTGTAAGTCTTGAGCACGTGGTCATATTGCCATGCCCTGAACTGGGGCGTGCTGGGAGAGCTGCCGGCATGTTCTGGGAGCATCCTGACTGCAAAGCAAAATTCCCCTTTGGCACGGCTCAAGGTGACCACGTCTGATGGCACAAGTGTCATGTTGGGTGAAGGGGACCTGCATGGCTGGTCGCTGCAGCACAGAGGAGCTCAGCTTCTTCCAGCCCGGTACCTCTGCTCGGATGTCTGAGCGTTTAGCTTCTCTCTGCCTCAGTTCCCTTTCTGGAAATCGCGGATAATAGAGGGTTTTGTATGTGAAAGCCTCTGAGGTGATGTGTTTCCATGGAGACAAGGCTTCGCTTGCTTGGGCATCTGATGTGGAATTCTGGCTTTTCTCTTAAGTCTTGATATTCTTAAATAAGATATTTTTTTAAAGATGTTCTCTGTTATCTTAGTGTTATGCTGGAGGTGCTGTGCTCTCAGACATCATGAACACTACATAAACACTTGCAGTCCTCCTTCCCTGCAGCCTCATGTGGCTATTCCTCTTACTTGCTTGCAGTTTGATTTCCACTGTCCCAGGTGAAGCAGAAAATCATAAAGGCATGCTCTTTAAACTGCACCAGGCAGGTGTGGTATTGAATATTCCCTTTCAGTGCTGCTTAAAACAGCATCAGTAATTTACATGGGTCTACCGAGGCTAGTTCTTGTTGTTGGCACGTTAATGAAGTCAAGCTAGGAAGTTTGGCAGGGAAAGTGTCCTGCCAGTCTCTCACCTTCCACTTTTCTTTCCCGTCCTGCCAAGGGGATCTCCTTCACTTGTAAGCAGCATGGGTTTTCTGATCTGCATGCTGTTAACATGGCTGTTTCCCTTGAAGCTGCCATTCTCATCTCAATGATCGCGCAGGAATGTGACGAGACATTGCTGCTTGCAGCGAACAAGATGAGGGCTTTAATTTTAACACAGCAGTGTGATACCAGACTTGGATGTGCAGGGACTCTCCCCCTCACCCTGGGCTCCAGCAGGACCAGTTGCTGTTGAGGACAAAGATCGTTGTCCTTTTTATTCTGTATTTCCAGAAAAAAAGCTCCTGCGTGGCTCTGAAGCTGTGTGGGTTGAGCTGGGGCAGTGCTGGCCCCATGGTCCAGGGAGGGAGGACTTTTGGCACCGCAGCATTTGGGAGAGCCCAGACTGGGCACATGTATCAAATCCCTACCTGAAAGGAGATGGTGGTGCCCAGACATCATTGATGGAGACCCGTCAAGCCCTGGGAGTGGTGTTGGAGCACGGTGTGGTTATAAATCCTGCTGCCTGGCATGTTTTGAGGGTTTCCCAGCAGTGTGAGGACACAGACCTGGGTTCAATCATTTTCCGTAGCACGAGGCAGTTGGGTTTTGAGCCTGGGTTTTGTCTCCAGTTATGCTGATGTATTCCAGGGAAGGGTTTGGGGTCCCCACAACCTGGGGATGCTTTAGATACGCAGCTGCCTTCTGCGTGCTTTCTCCTCCCACATCAACCGCAGCTCGTTTTCCCAAGAGCTGGTGGATTTATGGTGTTGTTGCATCTTGGCTCTGGAGCACGAAGTCTCTGTGAAAATGTCCAAATCCAGTTTGGCAGGAGGCATGTGTCCCAGTGCCAGCGAGCCGGCGCGCTGTGGGTCCCCTGCTCTCTGTCTTGGCTGGGCTGAGCGGGGCTGGCGCGAGGGGAAGGCTTTGTGCAGAAAATTGTACCCTCTACTGAAGTGGCTTTGTGTTTTACTGATCTGAGGAGAGCCTGGGCAGGCTTTTTCTCTTTTATTCCTGCATTTGACACCAGCTTGCTTGGTGACATTGGTGGCGTTTGGGTTCCTGTCCCTGGCTGGACAATAACAAAGATTTGACATAGAGTGTGATTTTTTGTTTTGTTTTTTTTTTTTGTTTGTTTTTTTGTTACTTAAATCAGGTTGCTGGCAGAAATCTTCACCCTTTTGTTAGTTCATGAGCATCATCCAATAAGGGATGCTGCTGAACCAGAGGGGTAAGTGCCAGCTCTGATGCTGAACAGGGTGGGCAGGAGCTAGCACCCTTGAGCAGGACCTTGGCTGCTCCCAGGCAAACCCGTGTCCCTAAACCTGCACCTGAGCTCAGAGATGGGCTGAGGGGAGGCATGGGGACATCGTCACTTCTGCTGGCTACTGCAGGGCAATGACTTCCAGCTCCCCTACCAAGTGGGGCCAAGGGGTTTCTCTGCGTAAAAGGGTGTAGGAATAAATCATTTTTCCCTCCCAAGCAAGTGAAGGTGGTTGGTGCAGCTGTGCAGTTTGCTTCTTCAGCTGGTGCGGCTGGGGTGGCTTAAAGCTCTGTCATCTTCTTCCCCCGGAGCCCATGTACAGCGATGCTGGTGGGAGCTCCGTTGCTGACTTCGGTGGTGATGGGTTCTGGAGGCTGAGCAGTGTCAGGCCTCTGTTTTCCATGGGGAAATGATATCTTAACATAAGATGACAATATAATTCTGCAAAGCCTTTCCCTGTTGCTTGTGTTTCCATGTTGGGGTGTGTGGTTGTTTTTTAAAGGAGGTGGCATTTGAAATATGAAGTTTGACAGCCGTGGTTAAGCCTGACATGACAGCCTGCTTTCTTCTTACTCATAGTGAGCTGAGATTTACACAATCCCTCAGGGACTGGTGTCTACAGCAATAGGCATCTCATTCCTTTGCTAAAAGTGATTTAAAATGTAATAGTTTGTTAGGCACTTCTCTTCCATGGGTGAACACTTGTGCCATGAGAGCAAGCTGAGCAGCATCTCTTCTGAGCATCCTGCAAGTGGGACGTGGTGGGGTGCTGGGGGGGGTGGTTGCTGGACAGAGAAGTGGGATCACCTTTCCTCACAGCATCCCTCCCACTGCTGTCTCCAGGCTTGCTTTGCTCGTTCCCGCTGGATCCTCATCCCGCACCCCTTTTTATGTTGAAAGTTGCCCTTTGATGTGCTTCCTTGCTCACCGGCAGGGCTGGGAGAGAGCTCGGAGCATCACCTTGTCCACCCGTGGCAATGGGTGCCACCACTTCTCAGCCCTTGCTGGTACAGACCATTTCCCAAAGCCTAACACAGATCTCAATGTGATTTTTAAGCCCATCTGTGCTTGTCTCGCTGACTTGTTTCCTCCTGGTGAGTGATGGGACCGGTCCCCAGAGCTGGTCACAGCTGAGCTTCTGTGGAGCTGAACGCCTGCAGGGGGAGAAACCGGGGCCAAGGCTGCTGCTGGGCGTTTGCTGTGCTGGGCTGATGACTTTTTAATTAAGCCAGCCCAGTATGTCAGGCAGCAGAGGAGAGGAAGAGATAAGATGATAAAATGCACGTTGATGTTATGTTCTGTAGTATAAGCTTGTGAAACTGGTGCCTTGCTTGGCTTTCTGTTCTCTACACAGGGTAACACCCTGAGCAGGGCTGGGTTGGAGATCCCCACAAGTCCCAAATTCTGTTTTTCTATGGTCTTTTGGGTTGCTGTTCCTTCTCCCTCCCTGCTAAGCAGCAAACAAGTTAAAAAACGCTTTGCTTACTGGAAAGGTTTATTTTCCTGATGCAAACTGTGTTGGTCACACACCATGGTGGGACTTTGACAGCACTGGTCTGTGCCTTGTTCTCATCCCAGCCTGGGCCCTCTGGCTCACATGCTGGGGCAGGAGCAGCCCAAGTGTTGGTCCCTGCAGCAGCAGAGAAGTTGCAAAGTCCTCGTGCTGTGATTGCCTTGGTCTGGGGTAGCGAGGTGGGGACCTTGGCAGCTAAACCGCAGCAGGCTTAAATCGGCATAGCAAAGCCGTGGTGTGCCCTCGGCTAGCTTGGAGATGGCTCCTTGGCTCCAGGCATTATCTGATATTTATTCTTTTTCTGCATGAGATCAAGGCTGTGTTTCCTTCCTCCCTTGCCTGCTCTGTGGAGGAGCCCAGAGCTGGGTGCAGGAAGGATTTTGTTCCCCCTGGCTTTGGCATGGTGGCCGGCAGAGTCACGGACCCGCTCCTGTCCCTGCAAAACACCCGAGGGCAGGGCAGTTTTCCTGCTCCCACTCTGCTGCCATTCCCATTCAATGGGTTGTCCTGGCTGTGCTAATCCCACAGCAAATCACCCTAATGAGCTCCTGTCGTTCACTTGCTGCCTTGGACTTTTGAGCCAAGAAAAACACTTTTGGTGAAAATGGGGGGGGAAAACCTCACTTCATCCTTCAGTGACTTGTTCCATTGGGAAGCGGGTTTTGATGGCTCTGCTGGGTTGCAATGGCCATGGAGCTCATGGGGGGGCAAACACAAGGATTTCCTCGGCTGGAGGGTGGGCAGTGCTGCCATGCCGTAGCTGGTGCCAGATCCTTGTGGCGTCGGTGCCTACGTGGTTCTCACTGCTCCCCTTCTGTCTCCTAGGTCATGCTGGCTGCTTCCTACTGGTCCCTCCTGGCCCCGGCTATCGACATGGCCGAGGAGTCTGGCAGCTTTGGAGCCTTCGCTTTCTTCCCGGTGGCTGTCGGCTTTGCTCTGGGAGCAGCTTTCGTGTACTTTGCTGACCTGCTCATCCCGGTGCTGGTAAGTAGATGTTCCTGGGTTGGGGGGCTTCTGCTCTTCCTTCAGCTCTGTCATGACCAGAGCCAGATATAGATTGGTTTCTATCACAGATTTAATGAAACTGTATTTTCTCAGAGATGCTGTGTTGCTCTGCCAGTGCTGAATGCAGCTTTAGGCTGTCTGTGTGCTTTTTTTTTTTTCTTCTTACTTTTGTTTTTTTTCCCTTCATGGTTCTGCTTTTGTTCTTTTCACTGGCAACACTTTGCAAACAGTTCAGGTGTGACCTTCTGTTTCAGCCCAGGGGTTTAATTTGCAGAGCTGCCAACCCTCTAAGCATTTCAAAATTGAATGAACCATCCTACTGTTGAAGAGTAGTATCAAAAAAATAAATCAGAAGCTGTTGGATTTTTGCGACTGAAAACACAAGAATGGCTTAGTAAAGATATTTTGAAAAACTTCCAAAGAGCTTTTTACATTTCTTGTTTATTTTAGTACAAGGGGGGATTAGCTGTGGTTATAAGTGAGGAGTGTGAGGCTTTCTGTTTGAAGAGTGGTACAGCTGGTTATCCTGGTGTCCAGGGGAGCCTGTAGCACCAGCCTTCGCCGCTCCCTTGCTTTTTGAGCCTCTGGTAACACGTACAGTCACACACATCCTCAGCTATGAAGAAAACTGCTTGATATTACGGTGTGTCACTTCCAGTGCAAATGGATGCATTAGAGTAAAGAACAAATAAATGAAAGAACAGCAGTGTCGGATGGCTGAAAGCCTGGACCTCTCCGCACTCTCTGCCTGTGTCCTGGCTCTTCTCAGGGTTCCCAAACCTTTTGCAGGATGCAGCAGGGGGGCTGGGGGCTGCTGTTGGGCAGCCAGAGCCCTTGGAAGCTGGTTGCCTTCAAACCCTGCTTTTTTTCTTCTGCTCCCAGTAACCTGAGGTCTCTTGCCTTTGTTGGCCATCACAGTGATCTCCCTTGTTACAGTGTGCTGGATGGGGCCTGGGATGTATTTGATCAGCTGTCTGAAGCTGATATTTCCCAACAGGGTAGATAAACAGTTGCACCACAAAACCTGCTTCTTCCTGATGGCTGGCATTCGCCTCTGCTGCGTTTTGAAATGGGAGCATGTGGAGGGGGAAGAGCGTTGGGGAAGTGAAATTCTTGTGTTGCAAAGAGCAGGGTGGAGTGGTGACAAGGGCAGCCAGTGTGTGTGGTGGCGATGGTCTTGTAGGGAGCAGCGCTATATATATATATATATATTAAAAAAAAAATATACAATTATATCTTGCTTTTAATCCACTTCAAATACTGATGGGAGAGGAGCTGTTGCTGCCTCTGGCTTGACACAGCTGTTTGCACCATGCAGGAGAGCATGTGCCACTGCACACTTGTCCCACGGGAGTTCTGGTAGCTGGTGTGTGTGCTATCGCTGAGCTCAAAGAGGGTTTACACCCTGTGGCTAATGCTGCTGCCCGTGTGTTTCGCTTCCCACAAAAGTGGGTTTCCCTGCATTGGGGTGTCTCCTCCAGCCGGATAGCGGCAGGACCCACCTTGTTGGAGTTTGTGCAAATGCAAAATGCTGCTTGTCGTTCCCCTGGATAACTCGGGCAGGGTCAGGAGAGCTGGTGGTGGACATGGGGCTCCTGTGGTCCCTGCCCAGAGGCAGCAGTGATGGGTCCTGGGGCTGGTCAGAGACCCTGCCATGGGCAGGGGATGGGACTTTTGGGATGCTTTAGGAAGAGGACAGGGTACCCAGAAACTTGGTGAATTTACAAGGGGTGCTATGGAAGGAGCATGGGTAGAGGTTAAAGCTGAATGTGTTGAAATGAAAAATCAGCAAGTGCCCGGCCAGTCCTGAGCCATCCTTGGGGCTGTGCTGGCAAGGGAATTTGGCTCAAGATGCATCTCCCTTCACTTGGAGCCCACACTTCTCTCTCAGGAGCCAGTGCTGCTCAGACAAGGGTTAAACCATTGCACTTCACTTCCAACAAGTCTTGCTTCTTTCTAAATCAGTTAAAATCTCAGGTTGGTTCCCCCCTCCTCCCCTGAAGTTGGATGGAGAAGGGATGCTGGTGAGACCGTGGGGCTCGCTGTCCCTGGGAGGGCAGGACGAGGGATCAGTTTTTAGCAGGCTGCTCTTTGCACAGAGAGCTCTCTCTCTGCCTGGCACTCCTCCATAATTGGTTTGCTGGATAGCAACAGGTAGTAAAAGCTTTTAATGACTCCTTATCACCCCATGCGGGAAGGGAGCAAGGCTTCGCTCCCGCTGCAGCCCAGTGGGAGCTGGGTGGCTCCAGTGGTACCCGAGTGTTTGCTCAATGGCAGAGCTGGGGCCGGCGGGAGGGTTAAACCTCCAAGACAAACTGGTTAATGATGCCGAACAGCTGTAGTCATTACATTCCTTGCAAAAGACAGATCTAATCTATTACATCTTTATCTTCCGCCGTTTCCCTGTGTGAAGCCTTTAACGTGTTTGTTCATCCTTTAGCTGAGTTTATGGAGGAGGAGATGCTGGTCTGGGAGCACTCGGCTCGGCTGGTGGACGACAGCAAACTGCAACGGGGTGTTTGGGCACGGTTGGAGAGCGAGACCATTGCAGAAACAGACCTCAGGAGTTTTTAAAAGGGGGCTCTCCCTTATTTTGGCAACTGTCTCCTTGCGTGAGTGTGTCTTTACCAGCTGTGCAGGGTTCAGTGACTGGGAAGGTAGTGGCAGAGCTGGTTCTGCAGCAGGACGTTGCTATTATTTCTGGAATATCTTAAACCACTAAGGAACGTCCTGTCTGTCTCTTCCCTCCCTGGCCCCGGTGATGCTGCAACAGGTTTCTCTCCTTCCTTCGCTCTAGTTTAACCTTACAGTTACTTTTTAAATAAGAATGTGGCTTTCAACTGGCATTTGAGGAGGCTTCTGGATGGAGCGGGGCAGGTGATGGGGGGGGTGTGTGTGTGTGTGAGATGCTATTGACTTTACTAAAAAGGGTTGGAGCTGAGGGTCTTTAATGCCAAGACACAAAGCCTTTGAGGGAGAGTTCACTTAAAAACACTGCTCAGCGCAGTAGGTCCCTGATCACTGAGTAGCTATTTTGGGTCTACTGTAACACGTAAGAATGCTGGAATTAAGTATTATTATTCTCATCCTTCAAATCTGTCTTGCAGCTCTGCTGACTTGGCTGCGGTTTTTTCAGAGTGTGATGTTTTATTGGGTTTCCGTGATGGGTTTCTTGCTCTGGCCTCCCTCTTTGCGGAGGAATCCCACAAGAGTCCAGAGGATGCATCCAGCCTGACTCCAGTTTTCAGACAGTCCCTGGCTGCTTTTGCACCTGGATTTTCCCGTCCATGTGTGTCGCCTTTGTCTTCGAGCTGTTGGATCCCCAAGACCTCTCCTGGCAGTGCAGCAGGCTGTTGGGAGTTCCCACGAGTGTTCCTGTGCCCACGAGGGTGGGCTTTGGGTGGAATGCTGGGTCCGGGCGCAGCGGAGCACCCACGTTGAAGCTGTGGCTTCCAGGGACTCCCTCGCTCCTGCCTTTTCCAGGTCACGCCATTCAGTGCTCCTCTGAGCAAGTGGGAATTCACAGACGTGATGCTGGTGGGTTTGGGAAGGTGGCATGGGCAGGGAAGAGGAGAAAACAAGCTGGCCGTCGTGGGAGATAATAAATCCCTCGCAGGCTGCACGTCAGCTCGGCCGTACCTGCCTTCCCACGTGGATACGTGCTTCTGTTAACCACCTTATTCTTTCCGTTCCCTGGCTGCACGATGTCCTCTCGGCTCTGCGATCGTTACGCTAAATAGGATAATGAGGCTTAATCAGCTTCATCTCCTCTACCTCGAGGCTTCATTTTGCTCAGAAACATCTGTCCGCATACAGAAAGCAGCTCTCTCGCTTCCACCATGGTGGGTGCGGGTCTGCAGCCGGAGCTGAGCTCGGTCCAGGACCCGGATGGGTGCTGTGGCACGTGGGGGTGTGGGGCAGCCCTGGGGTCTCCCCTGGGAGAGCTGGTCGGCGTTCAAGGCGGAGGGAGAGGAGGGCAGATGTTGCAGGAGAAGCAGGAGTTAATATATAATCTAGGGGGAGAGCTGATGGGCCATTACTCAGTTATAACTAGGAGCCTGCCAATACTTCTCGTGTAAAAGATGATCGGGGACGGGAGGATGGGAAGCCAGGGCTGTAATTCTGTCCTGGAAATACCATCTCAATTGGATTTTTTAAAAAATTTTTTTTTCTTGTCAGCTAGATAGAGGGTTTGTTGCCTTTTTTTCTGAGTACAGAGTAAATCAATAAAGCCGCATGTGACGGGTGGACCATTCCTTGGATTTAAAACAAATAGTAACTAAAGTGCCTTTTAAAAGCCTTTCGCCTGGGTTGGTGCGTGCTCTGTGGGTGCCAGTGCTGGGCTCTTGTGCTGCAGGAAGGACCAGCGTGGCTGAAACCCCTTCCTGGGGGTCCAGGGCTTGTGTTTCATACCTGTTATAAAATATTTTGGGCTGTGGTTTGCAGCTGCATAATGGTTTTCATGAGCAGGCTGAGGATTTTCACGTGGGCTGGATGAGAGTAGAGTGGGTGCATGTGTGTGGATGTTCGTAGTAGGAGGCTGGATCCCATTAACCCTCTCAAAACATAATTACATTGTGCTCCTGCCCTCTTCTATTTTTGCAAATTGAGGCTTGCAAGCTTTTTTGGAATATAGTCTGGGACTGGGCATTTGGCACAGTGAATTTAAGGCTATTTTTGATGAGCACCCTTGGGAGGGATTTGAGAACTTGATAAACAGATATCTCCCATTTAATAATGATGGTGTCTGTTGTTTGGCTCAGAATGTGCCTTGAGGATGTATATTTTGCTTTCTAAATCTGTGCAAGTCACGTATCGGGGGAAAGCTGAGAATAGTGCGTGGATGGTGAAGCTGCAGGAGGGGGAGGAGAGACCATCACACCCACTCCAGGCGTAGTAGCATGTTATTTAAAATTGCAATTTCTTTCTCAGGGCTAAACCACAGCTGGATTAGACCATGGGAAGCATCTTTTTTGGGG